CGGCGGGGCGGTGGGTACCCCCGTCCCTGAAGGGACAGCGTGGCACGAAAGGGACAGGGGTGTCCCAGCGCGGGGGGTGCGGAGCCCAGTCACGGACTGGGAGGGGTTATTACACTCAGCTGGGGACTGGAGGGACAAGACTGGTTAGAAAGGGGGGGAATGTGGTTCTCCCCCTCAGCTGGGTGCCAGAGCAGCTCCAGGAACAGCCTCCCGAGATTCCGGCTCACCTCAGGATAACGGCGTGAAACCCAGGTCCGCCCTCCCTGGCGAAAACAGAAAAGTGTCGCTACGAAGTGCTGGGTTTGAAAAGCTCATTTTGGTGGTAAAATTCCGTCTTTTATTTCAGCACGATGCAAAGGGTGTCGCGACTGAAGAGGGAGCTCTCCCTCCTGGCCACGGAGCCTCCTCCCGGCATCACCTGCTGGCAAAACGGAAACCAGCTGGATGACCTGCGAGCACGTACGTACTTCACTGGTGGGACTGGTCTCAGATGACTTTGTACTCCTGGATCTGAGCGGTGTTAAGAGTTCTGTAATGGGGGGAAGTACGTGGAGACTGCTGGACATGTTCAAGTGGTTCTGAATGTAATGCTTCTGTTTCAATCTTGCTTTTAAAGAAATTTTAGGAGGTGCAGACACACCGTATGAGAAAGGAATATTCAACCTGGAAATAGTCGTTCCCGAGAGGTAAGTGGGCAACAACATCTGGCTGAGTAGCTGGTGTAGGGCTTCCTTCAAACAGAAGTTAAATAATGTGAGATGTTTGAGATAAGTGCTGCCTTTTTGGTCCTTTTTGGCCTCCTGACAAAGGCTGTGATTGATTAGGTGAGACCCTTCATTTAGGGAATGCAATTATTATTTCCATTGGCTGATTGGACATCCTGAGATGTGTGATTAACAACCTAAAGGCGTTATGACAACATCTCTACCTCATCGTATTTCCAGAGCTTTCTGGAAAGGAGCTCATTCATGAGCAGAAATCCTATCGCGTTCGCTTCTTTGTGGAACGCTCCCCAGGAAAGCACCAGTCAGACCCAGCCAAAAGCAGCAAAGGCAGAGCACTGCACCCCCCAAAAATCTGGGGGGAAGGATGTCACTTAGTAAATGGCCGGGAGGAGGAAATGGTGGTGTTGCCTGAGTGATGAAGCAACTGGCGTACAAATATAAAACTAATTTTTTGTTTCTTAACGCTGATCCCATAAAGGTACCCCTTTGAGCCCCCGAAGATTCGCTTCCTGACCCCTATCTACCATCCGAACATCGACTCTGCTGGAAGGATTTGCCTGGATGTTCTTAAATTACCACCAAAGGTAGGATAGCGCTGCTTGGGCATGGGTAAGCGAGCCTGAAGAGGACAATGAACTCCTTATCTTTTTCTTGTAAAAGCCTCATTGAATGTCTGTTTGCTACTGACTTATTTACACGGGAGCATAGGAGGAAAGTTGGTTTGAGCAGCATCTCCTTTGTTTGGAGACTAGAACACGACCTGCTTTGTTCCGTATAAATTTCGGAGGTTTTAGGGACTGGAGTCAAAAGGCATTAGGTGGCCCCGTGAAAAGGGGCTACCCCAGCACCGACTCCCTCTCCCTCAGCACGGATCTGGTGTTTTCCATGAGCCTCTAAGTGCTGGGAGCCGCTCGTGGGCAGGTTCCTTTCTGCTTAACTGCTTCTCTTGCTCCGTTGCCTTGAAGGGCGCGTGGAGGCCTTCGCTGAACATCTCCACGCTGCTGACCTCCATACAGTTGCTGATGGCGGAGCCCAACCCTGATGACCCTCTCATGGCAGACATAGTACGTGAGCTCCTCTTCCTCTCTTGGGGACAGACTGGGAAGGAGGGGTGTGCCAGAGTTAGGCTGTGCTTCCACTTCACTTGCTCTGGATTAGCACGCTGCGTGGCGGTGTAGCTCGATCTGGATCAGGCCTGGGGGCATGACTGCACATCCCTGAAGCAGCTGGGGCAGGTGGCACAGGGCTGGCACCGGCAGCGGAGCAAAGGTGGAAAAGGTCTTGTCTGCAACCCTGCCAGTGCAAACAGCAGCGTGCGCTCTTCAAGCAAACAAAAGCAAGCAAAATAAACGCTGTGCTTCGTGCCACGTGCGTGGAGAGGTTTTGGTCTGGTTCTAGGAATCCTAAAGCCAGACCTTAGTGCCAGCTTATCAGTGTGATGTTTGTGTTAAACCAAATCTCTGTCTTTGTCTTGCTCGTCACACTTAGTCCTCGG